ACTAAAAAATAAGTGGATTTGTGTGTGTATGTACTGTCAAGTTACTTCTGATTTATGGCAAACCTATGATTTATAATCTCCAAAATGTCCTATCATTAACAGCCTTGCAAACAGAAGTCCATAGCTTCCTTGATTGACTCAATTCATCTCATGTCAGATTTTCCTCTACCTTCAACTTTTCCTAGCATTATTGTCTTTTCCCGTGTGAGCCTTTTGCCTTCATATGCGGTGACCAAAGTACAATAGTCTCGGTCCTTTTAGGTTCTGGGGAGAATTATTCCAAGCAAATGTTCATAGGATGCCTCCTCTTCCTCTTCTTGGGAAAGTCTGAAAGAAGTCCCCTGGCATCTTAAAAAGTAATAAAATGTATGCCAGCATAAGCTTCCGTGATTCAAAGCTCACTTAATGGGAAGCAAATTAGATGGGAAAGTCTGCAAAGGAAAACTAGTGATGGGTGGGAAGTTTCTGGAAAACATCGGGAAAAGGTAAAAGTTGGATCTACATGGATCCTCATGAATTCATATGATTTTTACATTGAAACGAAAAAAACCTACCATCATGATGTAGGCCATGTGTTAATCTATAGGGGGCACCACAAAAATCACGCATCCACAGATTCGTGGCACCACAACAGCGCTAACACATGATTCCAAAGCACGGATCCTCATGAATTCATATGATTTTTACACTGACACAAAATAAAACCACCATCATACTGCAGACCATGTCTTAGACTATAGGCAGCACTCCAAAAATCATGCCCCCACGAATTTGTGGCACCACAAAACTGCAAAAACATGGTTCCAAAGCACAGATCCTCATGGATCCTCAGGGTTTTTCAATTGGGTCACTCCAAACACACCATCAAATCACATAACACATCCACATCCACAGCTTGCACCATAAAAATCACAGATCCACGGCTTCGTGGTGACACCATTCTGCACAAACATGATTCTGAAGCACAGATCCTCATGGATGCTTAGTTTTTTTTTCTGTTGGGACACCACTAACATACCATGAAATCCCATATCATGTCCTTGGCCCCAGCCTGCACCACAGAAATGGTGCCACAGCTCTGTGGCAGCACCATGCTGGAAAAACATGGTTCCGAAGCAGGGATCCTCATAGATCCTTATGATTTTTGCATTGAGTCACCCTAACATCACCATCAAATAATATGCCTTGTCCATGGCCACAGAATGCACCACAGAAATCACATGTCCACGGCTTCATGGCAACACCATGCTGCCAAAACATGGTTCTGGAGCATGGATCCTCATGGATGCTTGTGGTTTTTGTGTTGGGACACCCCAAACATACCATTAAATCCCATACCATGTCCATGGCCACTACTTACCACAGTATTCATGGTTCCCCAGCTTCATGGCAACACCATGAAGCCACAGCATGGTTCTGAAGCACGGATCCTCATGGATCCACAGTGTTTTTCCAATGGGTCACCGGAAACACAAGATAAAAGCACATAACATGTCCATGGCAAAAGCTTGCACCACAAAAATCATATGTCCACAGCTCCGTGGCAACACCATGCTGGAAAAGGACGGTTCTAGAGCATGGATCCTAATTGATCCTCAGGGTTTCGGCACTGGGTCACCATGAACACACCATCAAATGACATATCATGTCCATGGGCACAGCCTGAACCACAGACATCATGGATCCACCGCTTCGCGGCAACACCATCAACACAAACATGATTCCGAAGCGTGGATCCCCATGGATCCTCGGTGTTTTTGCATTAGGACACCTCAAACACACCATCAAATCACAGAACGTGTCCATGGCAACAGGTTGTACCACAAAAATCACGGATCCACA